GACTTGAAAGATTGTCAAGGAAACCAGTGATATTCATACCACACTTATAAAACATATTCTATATATTCTAAAATCACTTCAAATGTGAAAGGAAAAATTACAATTATCAAGATAATAAAGTAAAAATATCATCTTATATGGATACTATTTTTTATTATAAGTTTGCTAGAAATTTGTTTCGGGCAAGAATTTGAGTTTTATTGAATAGAACTGCCATCATGAGAACACTGACACTTTCAAGCTACCCCAGTTTACGGGATATTGCATCAGGATGAATTTTTAAGCTGATTCATGTTCAGATTACTTCCTTCTGAAATCTTAGACTATATTCATTTAGTTGCCCCTTTTTCTTATGGCGTCTCATTTTTAATGGCCTAATCTTCAGTTATTCATACTGTAGCCATGAAATATGTTCATTCGTTACACAAACATGTGCAATGACAAGTTCTTTGTTAAGATTTCTGGGAGTCTCGGATATCTGTGAAACATAATCCCTGCTTAAGGAGTTTTAAGAGTTTACAACTGGTAGACATACGAGCTAGAAAATGTTGTAAAAGATTACATACTAATTTGAAATGAACATAAGAATGCATGTATTTCTTTGATACACCGATTTTAATTCATATATATACCCAGAAGTGGTATTGCTGAATTGTATGGTAATTCTATCTCCAGTTTTTTGAGGAAACTCCACACTATTTTCCAAAATGGCTGTACTATTTACATTCCCACCAACAGTGTATAAAGGTTCCCTTTATTCCACATATATGGAATGATAATTCCAGCATTATCATTCATCTTTCTTATAATAGCCATCCTAACGGGTATGAGGTGATATTTTATTGTGGTTTTAATTTGCATTTCCCTGATGATTAGAGATGTTGAGTATTTTTTCATATATCTGTTGGCCATCATATGTCTTTTGAGAAATGTCTATTCAGATTCTTTGCCCATTTTTAAGTTGGGTTATTTGTTTTCTTTCTATTGAGTTGTTTGAGTTCCTTATACTCCAACGTTTATTTCAGTATTATTCACAATAGCCGAGATATAGAAGCAATCTAAGTGTCCATCAACGGATAAATAGATGAAGAAAATGTGATATATATATATATATATACTTTTATATATCTCTATATCTATATGTATACAAGTGCACACAATGGAAAAATGGAATACTATATAGCCTTAAAAAAGAAGGAGATTTTGTCATTCTTGACAACATGGATGAATTGGAGAACGTTATGCAAAGTGAAATAAGCCAGGCACAGAGAGACAAATACTGTATGATCTCACTTATATGCAGAATCTAAAAAAGTTGATCTCATAGAAACAGAGTAGAAAGGTGGTTACCAGAGGTTGGGGGGAGGGGGAGAGAAGGAGGATTGAGGAAAGGGGAAGTGGTCAAAGGGTAAAAAGTTTCAGTTGGACTGGAGGAATAAATTTTAGTGATCTATTGCACTGCATGGTGATCAGTTAATAATAATGTATTGTATATTGCAAAATTGCAGAAGGAATAGACTTTTAACATTCTTACCACATAAAAATGATAAGTTGGTAAAGTGATGGATACGTTAATTAGCTTGATTTAATCTTTCTACAATGTATATGTAGATTAAAACATCACATTGCACCCCACAAATATATGCCATTATTATTTGTTAATTTAAAAATTTTTTTTAAATATTACATGCTAAGTTCAATGGGTGTCCCTCCACATGTAGGGACTGGGCCTTCTACATCTTTATATCTCCAATGTCAAGCTCAGTCTGGCACAGAGTACGTTTATTGAATTGAAGTTCATTTAAAGACTGTAAC